GTTTGATGTTTCCAACTCCCGGCTTCTGAGAGCCTTTCCATCAGCCGTTAGTATGTCCATCTTTTGTCTGCTCCACTGTCGGCAAATCGAACCGCAGGTGAGTGACCGAAGCAGCCCGAATCTATTAAAGCGGCACATTTTATTCCATTGATGCGTACCTTAATCACAGGGAGCGCCACTTTCATGCTCGGGTGTGGGGAAGAGACCGCGCTGACGTCGCGTCCCCCGCTCCATTTCCCGGCACTTAGAGGCAATATGACCTACTTTCTGACATTGAAAGCATCGTGAGATCGAGACGTGCCTTTTCGCACCCGTCCCTGGCCATGCATTTCTTGACGTTGATAGCGGCAGTCTCTGGCAAAATGATTCGCCCAGAGCACCGATAGCAGGTGGCAACGCCATGGTGACGAATGGCTGGGGTCCATATCCCGAGGAAGAGCTTTGTCCTCCAAGAGGCCTCATCCCGTCGATGGCCGTGGTACAAAAGAACAAGGGAAAGGTGTGCCCTGTACTAGATTATAGAGAACTGAACGAACATGTAGACACATACACAGCTCATGCTGATGTGTGTGCACAAAAATTGAGAGAATGGCGAACGAAGGGATCCAATGTCTCTGTGATTGACCTTCGAAGGCCTACTTGCAGGTACGCGTGCACCGGTCACTGTGGCCATTTCAGACAGTGATTCTTAATGGGACGAGGTACTGCTTAACCCGAATGGGATTCGACTCAATGTGGCGCCGGCCATCATGAAAGCCATTGTGGATGCTGTGCTATCCCAGGATGAGACAATTAATGGGGAGCGCGTCAGCCTACATTGACGACATCTACATCAACGAAACCTTAGTACCCGCTTCACAGGTGAGAAAGCATCTTGCTGACTTTGGGCTCAAATGTAAAAACCCAGAACGACTGGAGGATGGTGCTGGGTGCTCGGCTTGCAGGTCTGGGGGGAGCACAACATGCTTTACTGGAAACGTGGAAGCGAAGCTCCCGGACATTCCCAAACACATGACCCGGCGCAGCGTGTTTTTCGTTATGTGGAAAGCTGGTGGGACATTTTCCCGTGGGCGGTGGATCTGCATTGCAACTGCATTTATTAAACGTGGGGTGACTGCTGTCACTTCCGGTTGGGATGACACAACCAATGATGCTCCCCTTAGACACATGATAGGGGAAGTCATTACTAGGGTTGCGTCAAGACGACCCGTGCGTGGTAAATGGTGCGTTGACGGATGTGAATTTAACGTCTGGGTCGTGCGAGCTCCCTTGCAACAAGTGTCTCTTGAAGTAGGTGACACTGTCGTGGAAGATGCGTGTTGGTTGCGGCCCTTCAATGGAATGCAAAGGTATTGCATTTATTCAATGATTCCGCATGCGTGTATAAGTGGATAGCAACACTCTTACAGGGAAGGCTAGGATACGACAAAGGCTGCGAGCGAGATGCTCATTCGAAGGAGGCTAGACACACTGGGAAAGTTGGTAAGTGAATACCACTTATCCGTAGACATACAGCTGGTCAGATCACAGCAGAACAAGGCCGATACTTTAACAAGGGTACCCCAAAAATGGCTTGACGCTATTAAGAAAGAGGTAGAGCCGGTAGAACATGTCTGTGTAACATCAGCGAGCAACTATAACTCAGATTTACTAAAATCTGTGCATTGCCAAAGCGGACATCCCGGTGTAAAAAACGGACCTTATATTTCGTGGAGGCAGATTGATCCCTCCCGTATCCAAAGCTGCTGTCAGGGCAGTGGTCAGAGAATGCAAGGAGTGTCAGTCCATCGACCCAGCACCTGTGCAATGGCAAAAGGACAAGTGAGTGTAAGCAAGGTGTGGCACCGTGTTGGAATGGACATCACCCATTATAACGGACATCACTATTTGCCGGTTCATTATTTGGCGCCTGCGTCGACAGGATTCCGCAAGCGTCATTGACCACTTGGGGTCATTGTTCTTGAACGTGGACCTCCGACGGAACTCCTCACTGATGACAATGACACTGCATTCCGCAGTGAACTATTCAAAGATTTTGTGGCTTCGTGGGGAGTACACCTCAGATTTCGCTGCGCGTATGTCCCATCAGGGAATGGCATAATCGAGCAATGTCATCGAGCATCAAAAGAATCGCTGTTAGGAAGCAGTGTTCCATAATGGAGGCGGTGTATTGGTACAATGTTACTCCGAGAGACAATAATGTATCGCCCTCAACTGCGCCAGCCAACATGATTTATCAGTATAAAGTCTGGTTACGAGGCATTGACGCAACGCGTTCAACTGAACGGATAAACGAACGAGCGCCGTATGACTTGGGCGATCGCGTGTGGGTGAAATCTCCACATAGCCGGTGTACAACCCGGGTACCGGTGGGGCATGTCACTGGACTAAGTAACTCGCGTTCTGTGCTGGTTGATGGCATACCAAGACACATAAAGGACTTGCGTCACTATGTAGGTACAGATACGTCAACAAGTGACACTAGCAGTGAGTGCTCAGAAAGTGAACAAATAATTACCATCGGAGGTAGGGCTAGCACCCCTTCAGATGGTGAAGACTCTGTCGCGTGAGGTTGTCAGACCAGAAGAATCCTCAGAAGAAGAATCTTCAGAACATTCTTCAGATGGTTGTCAGATCAGAAGAAACCTCAGAATATAACACACAATCTCCTCCCACAGTTGCCCCGCCCGAGAAGCTTAAGAATAAAGAGGCCCGCCATGAGTGTCACTTATGTGACAGGGGGAGTGTAGTGAATGAGATAATCAAGTACCCCGGAAAAAGTTTGTGTTTTTTGTGCGCGATCTGCTGGGAGGGATTGCCAAAAAGTAGTCAGCAAAACTCTTATAGCGACTTACCTCGTCAACCCAAGCGAAAAAGAAACAAGTTCGTCGAGGAGTCGCTATAAGAGTGTATTAATATGCAAATTACGGAGCATCCTATCCCGGCTGAATGGGAAAAAATAGGTTCTGCCGATAAAAGCAGTTGGTGTTTTCGACTCGGGAGGAAAATTCGGGCAGTTTTGGCTACGGCGTTCGTGAGTTATTTTCCTGACGTGTTACAAGTGATTTTCTTTCTTTGTGTTGTGAAAGCCACAAATTTGCTTTGAGAATGCTTACTCTTCATAATGCAAAGCAATAGTTATCATTTACCAATTTATCTCTATCTATAAAAAGCAGGATGTGTGTGTAACAAATGCACGACCACAATTTTTGACAGATTTGCACCAAAATTTACATGCACATGCTCCAAGTTAGAGGAAAGGCCAAGACTGATTTTGCATTTCCCAACTCCCATCGATAGTGGAAATAATTGATTTTTTCATGCTTCTACGGCAGTTTTCATGTAGTTTGCGGCCATTTTCTACTGGCCAGAGTGAGAGCCTATAGTTGGCTGCTACGAATAGGCAGGAAGATTCTATTGGCCAGCGTGAGAGCCAACAGCTGACTGACATGAATGTTAACTAGCATGCAAAAAAAATCGATAGCTGCATTTATCACAAGTGGGAAAAATTTAAATCTGCATGGCACTTTACTCCAATTGGCTCATTCGCTTGCTTAAACTCAATATTGATTCTGATTCCGCAGAACTGGTTTGGGTGTGAAAAAGTATTTGTTGTTAACATTCTTTTTTCTTTCAGTTTTTCCAGTTACGAGTCCTTTTTTAAAGCTGATCGTTTTGTGTTCATTTTGTTTAGTTTTTTTTCGTAACAGATTTAATGTTTAGTATAGAGCTTAGAAAAAATTTGCAGTGTGAGATAGGCAAGAAGTAAGGCATGTAGCAACATCAACACAGCAAAGGGCATTCCTTTAAATGCAAGGAAGGGCAAAAATATTTTAAGTCAAGTGATAGCGATTGCTGTATGAGTCGTACAATTTTTTAATCAAGTACGGTCAACACTGGGCCATACTGCTAGTAAATAAATATGAAAACAATTTTTATTCATAAATTTAAACATTTACTAAATTATTAAAATATGTGAACTAACTATAAGGAAATCTTTATTTACCTTTTTATAAAGTTTAAATCAATTGACAATTAGCTGATATTTTACCAACCATTCCAATAAATAATATAATAAATAAACAATCTAATAGTGTTTATTATTTTTGTTGTCAGTTTTCAAGAAATAAGAAAATGTATAAATTCACTTTCATATGTTTAGGTTTTATTGCAATTCTAATCATTGCTTTTTAAAACAATAAATATTGCTGAGAAGTAAAAGTGGTTAAAATAACAGTGGTGTCAAGGAAAAAACTTTTTTGACACTGTTTTTTTTTGCAGGAACAAACGTCTAAGATTGCCAAAAAATACAATGAAAAGTAAAAAAAAATATATGCTGTTTAGATTTATTTACATTCTCCGCAAAGTGAATGTAGACAAACTACCACCCTCACAAAGTGAGGGGTCAATTTATATATTGATTGTAATACTGAATTGATCCTCCACTTTACACCCAGATTATAATTTCTTGTTTATTTATCAAATTCTGATAAGGTATGAATCCACCTCTTCTCCCAGCTATGGGTTAATTAGTAAGAATTGTATCACTTAATCATTATCTCCAAAAAATAAAAAAAAACCTTATGCTATAAAAAATATTTCTGGCTTTAAATAACCTGCAAAGGGGTTGATAAGCCATAGAAAATAAATGACTTAAACAGTATTTAATTGAATTCACTCCTCCTGAGCAAAGATTCATGTGTGGCTTCTACTGCTCTTTTCACCCTCTAGGAATTGCCCATTCTTCACTACCAGAGTAAGAAGAAATAGGACAAATTTTCGTTTTTTTTTTTTTTTTCTTCTTCTTCTTTTTCTTTTTCTTTTTTTTTTTTTTTTTTTTTTTTTTTTTCAAAAGAGATCTATCTTTTGTTAAACAATATTGAATTGCTGATATTGGTTATCTATTGTTGCATTATTGTTTTTTCGTTTTTCATTTTTCTTTGAAGCAAATCAAGAAAGAAAAACTTTTCAATGATTTTTTTTTTCTTATTTATTTTCAGAAGTTCTCAATGCCTACTTGAGATGCAGAAATCCAAGAGAACCTTTTGTTAAGGTACAATTCCCCCCCTTTTTTCTTTTTTCTTTAAATTTAACCTTCCAATTCCAAATAAGGAACTTCTGGATGTGGTACCATTATCATTCAAAGAGTTTCTCATTCTAGAAATTTATTTCTATCTCTCTCATATATATATATATATATATATATATATATATATATATATATATATATTTTATTTATAAAAAAATTATAACATAAGTATGTTATAAAATCACTACAAAAATCGAGCCCTATATATATATTATATGCAGTGTTATATTAGAACATGCACATACCCACTACAAAACTGTACATCTTGTTTCAACGTTAAAACAAACATATTTAACATTTCATTACAGCTCTACTTTTGTATTGGGCTCCTTTTTAAAATTAATATTATATATATATATATATATATATATATATATATATATATATATAAATATAAAATGTAAAAGTATGAAGAGTAAGATTTCAGCATTGAAAACATTAATTTAAAACAGAGCCCAATGCAAAAGTAGAGCTGTAATGAAATGTTAAATATGTTTTTTAATGTTGAAACAAGATGTACAGTTTTGTAGTGGGTATGTGCATGTTCTAATATAACACTGCATAATATATATATATATATATATATATATATATACACACACATATATATATATATATACACATACATGAAGGAAAAGCTTAACACCTCACAAAAATATGATAAATCATAATTTATTTAACTATGGTTTTAAGTTATGCTATATTTATGGATAAAAAGGCTCAATATCAGGAAAGAGTATATGTAAATATGAAAGTGAATATTGAAGTCAACACCAAGTGACGACAGTGTTTCATACTTGAATGCAATTTTTGTTCAAGTATGAAACAGACTTGTCATTCAGAGTTGACCTAGGTATCCACTATATATATATATTTAAGACCTTTTTACATTCTTTTTATAGATACAAATATTTAAGTAAAAGACAGTAAAATTGACCTTGCTAACCGAACGCACCTCTGTGGCCAAACAGGTTCAATTCCTGTCGAAGGACGAATATTTTCTATGAAAATTTCTCGAACATTCAGGCCGGTAAATGTTGTTTAATACTGTTTATTATAAACAGCATTTACAAAAAAATATTTGTATCTATAAAAAGAATGTATAAACATAAAAATGTTTTAAAAATAATTATCGGACTTTGTCCATTTTATTTTATATATATATATATATATATAAAATATATATATATAACAGAAAGAACATATAAAATCCGTGTTCTTATAGATATTTTTATTTTACAAAATAGTGCTCAATGTAAATTTACAGAGCATTAATATTATAAATTAATTGATTTAAAATATGGTTTAAAAACCATATTTTAAATCAATTTATAATATATATATATATATATATATATATATATATACATGCACACACCTGTCCTGGGTAAGACGTTAAACTATGTCCAACAGCAAGGCCTCTAATCAGGAGCTTTTGAGGAGCATGGAACCACCTCTTAATTGCTGGTGTTCCCAGGTCCACCCTGACCTGGGGTGGTAGCACCTGTTAGGGTCCCAGCTATGGGCAAATAGTTAACACCCAAACTTGTGTAAAAATAGTTTTTAATACCAGAAATACTTCTAATCAAAAAAATTATTACTAGCAATAATTTTTGAAGGAAAAATTATCAGCAATACTTAAAAAAAATACCAGTAATACAAACAGCTATACATTCTTAAGAATTTGGATTGTACTCAAAAATATGGGTAATTAAAAAATGGTTCAAATATATATGTATACGTACACTTTTTTTTTTACCAAACTATTGCTATGAATCTATTTAAAAAATTTTGTTGGCATTAAATGATCCACTGAGGTTTTGATATGCTATAAAATAAAACAAGCAACCAACACACACCAAGGAAAACTATAAACAAATCATGAGGCCAAACTCTTCAAAAAGTTGGAATTTGGCTCCAGAAAGAAATTTTATACACATGGTCTCTTCTATGTTGTATACCTAAGAGTAAAAAAAATCCTAAGAATTTTTTCTTCACTGTAAAAAATAAAATTTCTTAAACGAAGTCCTATAAAATTAACTTAACAATTATTAAATCAAAAAGCAGGGCTTTTGTTATAGTATTTTTCCAAACGAATCAGCTTATTAAAATTTCATCAATTGGTCTGTGAAATTGAATGAAAATCTCAGCCAAAAATGTTGGCAATAACTTCAACAATATAAAATACTGTGAGGATTTCATCATGTGTCAGCGTGTTGCAAAAAAATTCTAGTAGAGAAAAAAAAAATGCAACAAATAATAAGTGCAGTTATTAAGTTCACAACAAAAGGACGACTATTATTTGATGCGAAATTTAAGAATTTATTTACAATTAGATTTAAATCGGGAATGGAAGAAATGTATAATGGTCAGCTCAAAATATACTTTTAAGTGCCTAATGAAAATTTAACTGCATATACAGGCAATGTTTACTCTTCATGCCCCCCAAAAAATGGTGTGTCAAAAGTATGTTGGTATTAGTCTTTGTCAAATGTGTTTTCACATGGTATATCCCTATAATGGAAGAATAACATAAAAACTATGACATGTGTATCTTCAACCAAAAAAGGAAACCAACAAAGTGACATGAAAAGGAAACACTAACATGCCAAAAACACTATGACATGCCAAAAGGAAACACTATGACATGCCAAAAGGAAACACTATGACATGCCAAAAGGAAACACTATGACATGCCAAAAGGAAACACTATGACATGCCAAAAGGAAACACTATGACATGCCAAAAGGAAAATATTTCCTTTTACTAATGAAGTAATACCAATACTATGAAGAATTACGTAGTATGAGGTTGGGAGTAGTGATATTGGAGTCACTCTTCATACTACCAATATAGGTATACAGCGATAGTCTAAGCATTACATATAGAATACTTTAACAAATTGCATTATACCAAGTATGAGTTGTTTTATAACTATAACCTTATAATAAGATTCTATGAACACAAAAGGGATCTTTTACAAAATAACTCACTCAGTGCATTAGTTGATCTCTGTAAGGAGTCTGACCATAATTTTGATTTTTTTTTAAAAAAAAAAAAAAATGATACTTTAATTAAAAGAGAAAGTAATTTAGTAAGATAAAAATGAATAGAAAGTGATTTAATTGCTGGATTATATTTAAAATGATAAAACCATAAACAAAAAAAAAAACTATACATAAACAGTTAGACCTTATACCCAAAACATAAAAAAAAAAAAAAATATTAATATAAATTTAAAAATTAGCATTCCCTGTCTTTGGACACATATGTAATCACATCAACACAAGCTTCACTTTAAGGATGAAACATGACACACATGAAATAATGTTTGCACTTTGTCATAGATTATAATATATATATATATATATATATATATATATATATATATTTTAAAAACAAGGAAACCATTGATTTTAATTTTAAAAGTCTCTAGGGCCCTTTCAGCCAACATCTCATCAGGAGACAATCGTTGGATTAGCGAAATGAATAATAACGATATTGAAGAACAAAAAAGAGGGGGAAACACACTTAAAATAACGAACAAGTATATATACTTGTAACGAGGGAAGGGATCGTGTAAATAAATTAGCGAGGGACAGTTAAAATAAAATATCCCCCAACAGATTCAGAGACCTTATAAATTCTTTCTGCCAGCAGAGAGAAGGTTTTCTTAATCCTATACAGACCGATTCCAAAATCTTCAAATGATTATTGGAATCGGCTGCATGAATAATTCTAAACCACTCTTTTTTATACAATTTGGCACAAGCTATATTATTTTAAGTGTGTTTCCCCCTCTTTTTTGCTCTTCAATATCGTTATTATTCATTTCGCTAATCCAACGATTGTCTCCTGATGAGATGTTGGCTGAAAGGGTCCTAGAGACTTTTAAAATTAAAATCAATGGTTTCCTTGTTTTTAAAACTATTTATAAATTTTGTACTTCCAAACATTTGTTTTTATATATATATATATATATATATATATATATATATATATATATATATATATATAAAAAGATGTGTCGGGTGTGTGCATGCTATGAGTTTATAATATGGTCTCCACTGATGAGAATGTCTGTAGAAATAAAAGAAAAACTGTTTTATTCATTTCAGGATTACAACTCTGCCCTTTCAGCTATTGTACAAGCAAATACAACCCTGACCAATGCTTTGCATTTGGCTTCTGCCTACAACATGGGCAGTAAGGTAAGTTAAATCCTTTTTTACTTTTGATCATCAGCTTTGCAGTGTCTCTCTTTTGTTGTTAGTCATAAAATTTTCTAGAACTGAAAGTCTTTGAAGTATAGAACTTCTGTGATTGTTGGGATTCAAAGTGAATTTTTTAATTCTTTAATCCGCCATCTTTTTTTTTTTCTACTTTTCTGGACAAGAAAGTTGACCATTGATTTTGCTAATAATCTTGTCTTTTTGTTGCAAATATAAATTGCAGAACTGCCCAACAAACAGATTTGACAAAGTTTGCAATAAACAATAACAAGAAAAGAAAGCAAAAAAAGTATATAAGGCAAGAAAACAATATATGCAAAGGAAACACTATCACATACTAAAAGGAACAGTGATAAGATAAAGCAATAGTAATATTGCAAAAAGTTCACAAACTAAGAATTAGGGTTGATACACGAGAACAAACTCAGTGTTCTGACTTCAAGACTAGACAGACCAGGACTGAGTCATATGAAACTGAGAACAAGCCTATTTTATTGGCTAAGAAGAAATCCCAGCATGCATTTGTGTGCCCTCTGCCTATAAAGTGGGGAAGAGAAAGTGTATTGCAGTCATTTTCCTAAACCAAAGTGGAACCAACACTTCCAAATACAGTTTTGGTTTCAGTCTTGTCATTTGTAGGCCTATAATCAAATCACACTGAAAAGTTAAACAGCACCAAGTACAGTCAGTACTTTGATGGGGCACTGCTTGAGAATACTCAGTACTGTAAGCGATGTCTTAAAAATCTGAAATTTGTTTTGCCTTTGAATAATCCGCAAAGAGATGATAAACCATAAACAATCATTTACAGACTCAAACTTGTCTGGCCAACAAAAGTTACAAATTTCTTGAATTTGTTAAAACTAAACAGAAAATACCTTCATGCAATGAAATAGACAATTTATCTGAAAAGTCTAATGGAATTATCAAATCAAGGAAATATCTTGGGCATATATAAATAAATGTATCCGCAATATGACATAGTGTCAAAAGAAAATTTTTCAATGATGCTGCTTTTTTAAGTATCTGTCTATATTTCGTCAAGGACACATGGCACAGTGGATAAAGGTGTTGGTTAGATCCAGTGACAGAACCCAAAGAGTGAGTTCAATACCCGGTTAAGTCAGTGGAGAACTTTCTACATCTACGTTCAATAAACAAAACAGCAATAATTCAATAATGTTGATCCAAATGTTTTATGAATCCTGAAGTGTACACTATTTACATTATTTCAAACTATTGTCCTCATCATTGTCGCCATATTTACTACAACGTTTCGGCCATTGTACACTCCGGCCTTCTTCAAGTGGTTGGAATGTCAAACTGAACCCTTTATTTTGTTCACTGGAGTAGACTGTTTTAGTTCTTCAAGGACACATGGCACAGTGGATAAAGGCGTTGGTTATATCCAGTGACAGTGTGAGTTCAATACCTGGCTAAGGCAGTGGAGAACTTTCAGAAGGAAATTAACAGGAGATAACTGATAACTGACATCCATTAAACATGGCACGTGGAACTAGAACAGTCTACCCCAGTGAGTGAAATAAAGGGTTCAGTTTGACATTCCAACCACCTGAAGAAGGCCAGAGCGTACAACGGCCGAAACGTTGTAATAAATATGTCGACAAAGATGAGGACAATAGTCCGAATAATATAAATAATAATGTGCTTTTTTAAGGACCTTCACTCGAGCAATTTTTTTTAGAAAGCGATGATTTAGAATTAAAATAAAACCTAAATATATGTATAACAATCTGATTTCTTATACATCTTTTGAAGGTAAGAAGATAAATTCCTTCCTTTTTTAAGTCCACTGAGGAGTTTCATAGGAATTTTGTCTCCAATCCATCTTTTGAGTAAATCGAAGTGTCAATGTTTTGGGGATTTATGTGTACAGCTATCTTTGAATTTGGGAAACATACAAATTTTATCAATGACTTTATATAGTCATAAAAATAGTCCTTTGAATATCTGACCACCCATGTAGTTTTGTGGGTGGTCTCAACACTTCCGGATGAGTAGGGGACCTCAGGATTATCCATATAAGAGGAGTGATAGAAAGATCAGTAGTGAGGAATTAGAAGTCTCAGAGGTCAGTGAATTTAGGGAGATAACAGTTCATCTGAAGGAAAAGATAAGCCAGTTAAGTGAGAAATCGTATTATTGCGACTTCCCAACCAGAGAGTCTTGAAAAAAATTGTCTTCATTTATTTGTTGAAAGCAATCATGGCCGAAAAGACAAACCTGTGCACATAGCAAATTTAGTGTATATGCAGATACTCAGCCTTGGATGTCATCCCAAATGCAATGACAGACAATTGGAGAACGTGTCCCAGTTACATCACAAATGGCATCACGTATGAAAGTGAATTTATACATTTTCTTCATGCTTGAGAATTGACAATAAAAATAATAGACACTGTTTCTTAGATTATTTCTTGGAATGGTTGGCAAAACATCGGCTAATTGTCACTTGATTCAAACTTAACAAAATGGTAAATAAGGATTTTTTATAATTTAGTAAATGATTATAAATTTATGAACAGAAATTGTTTCCACATTTACTTCTTTATAAATTAGTAAATGATAAATATTACAATTACATTGAATTAGTTTTAATTGTATTAGTTTTTAGAATGTTGTAAATATAAAATCGTTCTTGTAAATAAACAATCACACAAGCAAGCACTTCGATGCTGGTCATGAGGAACTGAAACAAAACCTTTTACATGACATCAGACACTGTGATTAATTAATTTTTCTCATCTCATATCAAGAAGAAATGTAGGCTTGATACTTTCCTTCTTTTTCTTGAATGAACACATGCTTTCTGTGAAAGCAAGGTTTTCATTCATCTAAAAGCATAGGCCTGAAAATTTCATTTCTTCTTTCCTAGTCCTCTGAATTTGAAGAGAATCAGTGAAAGGAGTTATTTCACACTTACTACAAGTTCAAAAACACAATAGAGCATTGCATGCAGTCTATTATATTACATCTAATATTACTCCCATATCTGGTTTGCTGCTCTTGCTATATATTTAGAAGCAATGTTATTGGTCTTGATCTGGCATCTTGGCTTCACATTAATAGAATACAGCAAAGTATTGCATGCATCTACTATATTAAGAGCAATCATTTGTGTTCAGTCAATGATTGTTCAAATCTGCCAATAATTGTTTCTGTATCCAATTTATTGAACAATGTCTTTTCAATGGAGAGTGTCATACCTGATTCCAAATTCTCCTCAGAAAGCGAATTTCGTAACCTTGTCTTTATGATCTCTAGCGTTAAAAATGTCCTTTCACATTGGATTTTAGTAACTTTTAGTGTGCAGATGACTTTAGAAAGTTCTTATTTCTTTTTATTACTAAAACAGTTGTGTGTTTGTTTTCTTTATTGCATTTCTATTTGATATAAGGGGTTCACTCCATCAGGGTCCTGCTTCATCAGAGGCGCACTTGCCACAGCAGGTGAGGTGCATCTGTCTGAGAGCAAAAAATGCCATGTCTTATAACATCACCCCTCATATGTATAGCAGAGTAAGCCAAAGACCATTTAAACCATATTTGGTTTACTGCTCTTGCTATATATTTAGATGCAATGTTATTGGTCTTGACCTGGCATCTTGGCTTCACATTAATAGAATACAGCAGAGCATTGCATGCAGTCTACTATATTAAGAGCAATCATTTGTGTTCAGTCAATGATTGTTCAAATCGGGGTCCCGCTTCATCAGAGGATCATTTGCCATCAGGCAAGCTAAACCACTGGCCATTTTGGCATTGGTCCACAGCAGGTGAGGTGCATCTGTCTGAGAGCAAAAAATGCCACGTCTTATAACATCGCCCCTCGTATGTATAGCAGAGTAAGCCAAAGACGGTTTAAACTTAAACGAAATGATAATTTACATGGAATTATCAAAATTTATGACAAAAGAACATCAAGATAATTATTTGTTCAATATAATTTTACCTACATATAATTTTGATTCGCTCTCTCTTAGTTAGCACGACCATTACACCTTGTCTTTATGATTTTTAGCTTTGAAAATGTCCTTTCACATTGGACTTGAGTAACTGATGGTGTGCAGATGGCTTCATAAAGTTCTTATTACTTTTTATTACTAAAACAGTTGTCTGTGTTTGTTTTCTTTATTGTATTTTTATTTGATATAGAGGACCTAATTTCATCAGGGGGCCCACTTGCCATTAGGCAAATTGACATCCTGGCCAGTCTTTTACTAGTTACAATTCAGTTTTATCATATCTGCCAATAATTGCTTCTGCATCCAATTCATCTAACAATTAATACCAATACATTTCATAGTAGAATTACTACCAATTCATTTTATCTGTAGTTGAAGGTATGCAGTTGCATTCAAAATATATTTAGTTGAAGTCATAAAATTGTGTTCAAAATACCACAATTCTGGCATTAAATGACTCATAAGGAGTTGATGTGCCTTTAAACAAATCAATAATCATTTAAGAAGAGTTCTTTGTTGATTTTTTTATTCAGGTAAGCTTATTAACTTTTCCTCCCACCCTAACAGGATAACTGATATTATGTAACATTTCAATACTCTTTTGTTTGTTTCTAAGAAATTTTTTGTTTCTTTATACTTTGCTTGGCTTTTAGAAGACATCTTTCGCTATCCCAATGCACCTTCAGATTTTGGAGTAAGACTTCAAAGAAGCAAAAGCCCAAATTCTTCTCTTTATCAAAAGAAACCCATATATTTTTTTTCTCTTACTTTCAGCTGAGGAATTTGGCTCGGACGATGCGTGCTGAGGTTAATGCAGCCGTCTCCAATGTATCACTCCTTAATCAAATATCTGGTTGCCGTTTTATCCATGACAATTATGTTGAGGCTCTTGATGGTCTCTGTCGACAAAGTCTGTAAGTTTCCTTTTATTTTTTCATCTATTTATTTTTGGTGTTTCTAATTTGGTTAAGTTGGAATTACTCGAATGTATGGAAAAATGAAATAAAACCAATAGCTAAAATAATAATAAAGAATTAAAAAGAATAAAGAAATTTGTTTTTCCATGATAAAAGGTGTGTTTTTGGAAAGTGTTCAGATGTGTTTTAGCAGCTCTACTCATGAAATAAGTGAATTGGTCGTTCCATCTATGCACAAAGCTGACTTGAGCTCAACTATTTTAACCATTTTTATCCTTACTATAAGTTATTTCTGAACCGAAAACAGAAAATGCACCAGTTCACAACACCCTGAGCATATGGCAGTTTCTAACCGAGAAAAACCTCAGTGTATTGGAAGAACTGCCCTATTCACATCTTGCTCTGTGTGACCTTCCTTTTCCCTGTGCTCAAAGGGATAATCAAAGAAACTTGTTTTGAAGATGTGGAGCCCATCAAAAGGCCATAACACCGGTGCTGAGTGGTATCTAAAAAGAATCATCATTTTATATATATATATATATATATATATATATATATATTTTTATTACACGTTTCATTAAATAATATAGACAAGTGTTGTCTATTTATTTTATGTAAAATTTGTTCGTAACATCTGATAAGTTTGATAACATTATCATTAAAACGAAGAAAAAGAAATTCACAATATTGATCCATATTTTTTTATTATAATCTAAGCTTTCGCTTACTTTAGCCATTATCAAAGATGTAAATACAAACATATCAAACAATATACGGACACGACAGTGATGATAGTCTGTCATTGTTTACATAGATAATCACTAAGAAACGATAAACACGCTGCATATAAAGACGCTAGAAGCAAAAATCGCACCGCATCTCATGACGTCACACATGACTACACAAGAGTGAATTGGAGAATGAAGTAAGGAAAGCCGTTGGTATAAAACCAATGGCTTCTGTTACCAATTATAGACATTTAAGAATATTTGTAGAGATGCCATAATTGACTTTGTTTAGGTTGGGTTTTAACTGTTTGATGTATAATGCTTCAAGTATTTTTAGTTTTTGTTTATTGTTTTCATGTCGAAGAGGAAAGTGTCTAGTTGTGTTTTCGACAAGTATTTTAAGGAATTGTGATAATTAAGATTTTTTTTATGTTGTTTTAAATGCCTAAAAATGTTAGTTAAAACAACATGGAATATTAGTGTTTAAGCCTTTTTATTATATCCTTACTATGTCCTAGACATTGAGTTCTACCTGGATTCTTCCTCTTGGAAAATTTTTTTCTGAAAATATACATGTATGGGTATTTTTATATATATTTTGCATATGTATGTATATTTTCCACTAATATATATATATATATATATATATATATATATATATATATATATTTATGAATAAAAATGACAATAGGAAAATTGGTAATTGCTGACGATTTCGTCCAATGTGGACTTTATCAAAGCAAAATACGAAAATGAAATCAAATGAACAAAAGTAACTAATGAAAAAAATCAAAAAACAGAATGTACCTAGCAACTGGAATGTAGAGAAACGCTATTTTCATATTTTTTTTTTTTTTTAACTGAAAAATAATGGCAGAGATTGTCACGTGTGGAGAATATTGTCATTATATCTGTGTTGATGTATTCAACCATTTTCTTTTGATTTTATGAATCTGTTGTGCATATTTGTTTGTAAGAGCATTAATTTTGTTAAGAAAGGTGAAATAGGGAAAAAGCCTGGGCGTAAATTAATATTTGGATAATTTTCTATGGCGGCACTCTCCAGAATTTTCCTTCTGAGTGAGTTATTTTCTTTTTTTTATGAGTGTAGCATTTTTAAAATCAAAATTATGGTTGTATTTATTTCTATGTATGACTATTGCATTAGCTAAGTTGTTTTTTGTGAGGTCTCTTTTGTGCTCATAAATGCGTTTTTTTCAAACTTCTACTTGTTTCTCCAATATATTGGGAGGAGCAGTTTTGGCAATTTATTTTATAAATGCCTGCTTCAGAAATATTAGTGCTATTATTGTTTGAAGATCTTAGTATATCTATAATGGTTTTTGAACGTTTGGACACCCCTCCTAATACACCATTGTCAAGTAAGAATTTTAATCACTGGTTTCGAAGCTTCTCATCGTTTCTACGCAAAATTATTAACCCCGACATCCATACTGACTTAGATAAACTTGATACTCTGATAAATTGTGTTTCTTCTGATGTATATGAATATATTGCTGAGTGTAATACTTTCAATACTGCTGTTAACCGTCTGAAAGAACTGTACATAAAACCCTGAACAAAGTTTTCGGGGCCCCTGGCATTTACTTGCTACTTGCAGCCAAAAAGAGGAGGAAAATATCGACGAATACGCATAAAGACTACAGTTACTAGCGAAAAAGAATGTAACTTTAAAGTCTGTTGATGCGTTCAAAACCGCGACGACTTTGTTAGAGATGCATTTATCACAGGTTTACGCTTCAAACATTATTCGGCAAACGCTACTTTAGACGAAAACAAAACACTGCATTTAAATATAGCCATTGACCAAGCTAGAGCGCTCCATGCAGCTCAGAAAATTCAGAAGCATACACAAACACCAATTGTAGGTACAGTTTCTCAGGAAAATACCAGTACCAGTGTCTAGTCAACAGATCCCATTAATGCTTGTTGTGCAGCTTCGGCTAACACCAAGTATACGTGTTTCTTCTGTGGAGGACCTCATCATAATAGAAGCATGTGTGCAGCAAGAAATGCTATTTGTTTTAAATGTAATAAAGAAGGCCATTTCTCAAAAATGTGTCGTTCGAGCCCAAAAATGACATCTGCTGCAACATGCTCTCACAGACTCGCGACAATGTTGATATCAAATACTACATCTGCTTCCTTAGGATCCCTAAAACAGGCTGCATTATACGTGTTAGTCGGGAAATATGGCACCGGTACAGCGCTAATGGATACGGGGAGCTCAGGATCCTTTATCTCTCTCGGTTATGTGAAGAAACACAGACTACATATAAAACCTGCAGCTGGTAATGTATCCATGGCGTCATCATCACTTAAAGCCTCTATCAAAGGACAGTGGACTTGAACCTTCTAGGTGAGTGGTATCCAGATGTAAAACTTTCAGTTCTACCCAACCTCTGCTCTGATATTATTCTTGGCCAAGATTTCATGTCACAACATTCCATTTGGTAGATGTGGGAAGAAGGGGGAACTGGAGTCCATATCTTTTGCATTCAGATTGCCCCTAAGAAAGATCTGGTAATCTCTCATCCTATCTCCTGTAGTGTGCCCTCTGCATTAGTAGACACACCATCTTTATTTTCCAACATTGATCCAGACTGTAAACCTATTACAACTAAATCTAAAAGATGGGGAGAGGGTGATAGACTTTTCATACAGACTGAGATTGAGAAAATGATCAAAGAGGGTGTAATTGAGGAAAGTACTTCCCCTTGGAGGGCTCGGGTCTTAATAGTAACAAATGAACGTCAAAGAAAGAGACTAGTAGTCGATTATAGTAGAACAATTAACAGGTTTACTAGATTAGATGCTTATCCATTACCAAGAATGGATGACTTAACTCAGGAAATATCAAAATTTAAAATTTATAGCTCATTGGATCTGAAGAAAAAATGTATATCATCAGATACCAATAAAAAAAATGAAAAGAAGAGGATAAGCCCTATACAGCATTTGAAGCTAATGGTAAAACTTTACCAATTTTGTAGAATTCCTTTTGGAGTGACTAATGGTGTTGCATGTTTCCAAAGGATAATAGACAAGATTATTAAGGAAAATAATCTAACGGGAGATGTAGATGTATGCCTATGTAGACAACATTGTTGTAGTTGGGAAAAAATCAACAAGACTATGATGAGAACTTAGAAAAATTTAAAAAGATTACGACACAGTATAACCTCACTCTCAATGAAGAGAAGTCTGTGTTCTCTAAAACATCCATTGATTTTCTCGGCTATAATATATCACAGGGCTTACTTAGACCTGATGCAAAACATCTATGGCCATTAAGAGAGCTACCTATTCCTCAGAACACAACCTCTCTGCGCCAATCACTCAGAAGAACTGGCTGGATTATTCTCTTACTACTCCCAGTGGATACCCAAGTTCTCTGACAAAATTAGACCCTTGATAGCAGCTAATTCATTCCCTCTTGATTCAGAATCGATAAAAACATTCGAATTTTTCAAGGAGGAAATTGAAAAGGCCTTGTTGCACTCAGTCGACGAAAAGATACCTCTCGTATAGAAACCGATGCCTCTGATACTGCTATTGCAGCTACTCTCAATCAAGCAAAACCGTCCCAGTGGCATTCTTTTCAACTGAGTTGAAAATAATTCACTACATGTACGACTACAGAACAAAAACATTCTTCCGTGAAAAGGAGGCTTGTGCAATAGTAGTCAGTTAAAAAGTGGTCACATTACCTATCAGCACGACGTTTTTTGATAGTCACAGATCAACAAGCTGTGAATTTCATGTTTGATGCAAGAAGGCATGGAAAGATCAAGAACAGCAAGATCGAAAGATGGAGAATGGATTTAGGGTGTTACGAAAGTATGACATCATGTACCGACCAGGGAAAAACAATATTCCAGCTGATACGCTCTCGGGTATTTTCAATAACAATTGGTGCCCAGTGCAATGCACTCAACAACATGGGAAGATTGCATGAAATACATGAACATCTTTTGTCATCCGGTATAAACAGGTTGGCTCATTTTGTTAAAGTAAAGGAATCTTCCGTACTCTATTGAAGAGGTTAAGAGAGTGTGTGCAGCATGTACAGTATGTGCTAGATGGAAACCACACTTCTATACACCAGAAGCAGGACACCTAGTCAAAGCAACACAACCAATGGAACGACTCAACATTGGCTTTAAGGGGCCCCTTCCTTCAACTTCGAAAAACCGTTACCTACTAACGGTTATAGACGAGTACTCACGTTTCCCTTTTGCTTTCACA